TTATTTGTCTGGGGTGAATTTTACTGATCTGAAACTTCCTGTGCTATGCACGAAAGTCACCAGATGGATTGATGGGTGGAAGAGCAGAATGGATAAATGTGTAAAGATGTGGCAAAGCAAATACATCCAAATGACGAATGTAGAACAACACTGAGGTGTAATGGTATTCCTCATGTGATTCTATCAACTTTTCTGTACTTTTGAACACTTTTATAATGATCCTTTTAAGGATGAAGGAAAATACAGACCAGCATTCCATAAGCTCATGGCTTACAAAGACAGATCTCAGCAAATGACGGATACAGTGGTGAATGCAGAAATGATAATGTGGTTATTGCATGGTGGGGGCACAGAGGCGAAAGTCACTGTCATAGTAAGAATTCAAGTCAAGTCAGAGGAGTTTGGACTCTCTTGCATAACAGAGGTGCTGAAATTGTGACAATTTGGTTAAGAAATATCACACTAAGGGCTATATCTGGAAGACCTTGTAATAGTCTATGGGGCTACTGGGAGGTGGTTGAACCTTTAATTAGTAGGGAGTCATAGAAATAAGGTGACAAGGGTTGTGAACGTGAAGGATATATTGGAACCCCAGACTCTTTTGGGGTGTTAGTGAGGACTGAACCCAGGGCCTTTACTCTAAACTATACCCACAGCCATTCTAATTTCTTACCTTGAGAAAGAATCTCATTAAATCGCCAATTTTCCCAAGCTGAAGTCAACTCCCAATCCCGTTGGGGTGACAGCACTGTGCCGCCTTGCCCAGCTCCCAGCCCATTCTCCTCTCTCACTATGTTTCCTGGCCATCATGCGGTGTACAGACATCCTGTACAGTGTTCCTGCCAAAACGTACCATACCGTGACAGGTCCAAAGCGACAGGGCCAACTGCTCATGAACTGGAACTTCTGAAACTGCGAGGTGCAGTAAAACTTTTCTCTATTTAACTTGATTTATTTCAAGTATTTGTAACAGCAGAGGAAACTCGATGAACACAGAAGGGTGCAAAAAAGCACTGGCAGCTTTTTCTATTTAACCTGTCTTGGAATTTTGAAATTCGTCAGAAATGGCATCATCCTTTCTGTAACCATGGTGTGTCTGTCTTAAAATGATCATTACTCACTGGACAATTTGAGGTTTCCGTAAAAGGACCAACCAAGCACCCTGGGCTGTACTGTAGAGCGCACTTCCGGTTCCAGCTCCTGCCTCTCAGCACGGCCATGCACCATGCATTCTTGCACAGGACAGAGGACAGTGGGCATTGCCTCGGCACTGCGACTTATTGTTCTCTTCTCAACACTTCCAAACAATATTTTCAGGAGGTCTCCTTAATTACTTTTCAAAAATCCTGTGTTAATTTCATTGAAGAAGTGCTAATGTGTTGAAATAGAACACAGAAATTCTTACATTAAAGCCGTGCTTCATGACAACTTACCTAGAACCATTATTCATTCACCTGGGTGCAGCACTGAGTTAGGAAAGCTTATCATTGATGAAAGACCTTTAATCTAAGTGTAACTATGTAGAAAGAATGATTTTTTTTTAACCACGTTACTTAAAGTGTAAGTATAAGTAAATTTCAGAATGACAATGTTAAGCTATTAAGTAACTTGAAGGTAAGTTGAAGGTAAGTTATTCAGATGTTAATGGTATATAAATATCCAAATGTGAATTATAGCAAGATTAAGCATTTATTTCAAATTTTTTAAAGCTGAGAAGCACTCACTAGTACTGCTACTCGGCACAATTACCCCTGATGGAAGAAAAAGGAAAACTCATGAAAATACATGATATGATAGTGGCTGCCATGAGTAATCGTAGAGTGACAAGATGAAGTGATCCCAAAACATACCAGAAACAACTTACTGCACAGTACTCTCCTTAGCTAAAGCCAGAAAACACCCAGATTATACAAGGGAAAACTATAAACTACTTCATGATCCCAAGCCTCCAGTACTATCTGCAATCAATTTTGAAGACTCGACATACATCTTATATAATATTATTGAGGATTCCACTCAAATTTTCAGTGTCCTTAGTCATTTACAAGTGAATCAACTCCAGCAATGAATATAACGTAATGAGCGTTCGCCATTTAGTAGACCATTTCCAGCTGTATGTATAGCCCTTAAAACATGGTACACAGATACGTATAATCTGAGCAACAACGTGGATGGGACTGACGTGTCACGAGCTCCTAGGTTTCAAGGATGCACGTGACTGACAGCAATGCTGCCAGCCGAATAAAGCCACCTCCCTGGAAATGCATCTTCCTCTGTGGGCTGATTCCCACACCCATACTGAGGAGTTAATCTCTTGCCATTGGCAAGAAACAAATGCAGCCATTCTCCCGTTGACATATAGTGGCTACAGTGTTATAGATTTTTCAAAGGAAATAGATTCAAGCTCTATCAGACTGAAGGCTTAGCAAATAATAATCACAGATTCTTCTCTTTAGAGCCATTTGTCCTCTTGCTCCTGATTTTCATCAATTCTCTGTAATTTTCACCCACTCTGACTCAGGATCATGAGTTATCATTGCTTGCCACCGAAACACTCCAGGGCAATTTGTCTTATTGAAACATGGGTTGGCCTCATGGCTGTGAATAATCGTTCACTCTCTAATATATCATATATTCTCCAAAATTCCCTTCTCTCTTGAGGAGGACATAATGCTGTCCTCGAACTGATGGAGCCAGAAATTAATTGTTTTCTTGCAGTTAGAAGAATGCTGTGGCTATTTTAACATGTTCATGTTTTACATTTGCACCACATCGAAGGCATTTCCTGAAAACCTAATAAGTAAAATACACCCCTGTGTAAGAAGAAGCACTTTGGCTTAGAAAAGAACAAGGCACAGGACCGGAAGCAGCACTAGGATAGACAAAGCTACCAGATTGAGCAACTCTACCTTTATCTCTACCTTCCGTTGTCCCCCCGTTTTGGCTACATCTGACTGTGCTGAGAATACGTTAATATGAGTTCTATAAGAGTAGTGTTTTTCAATGCTTATAGAAATTGTATATTTAAAAACGAGGAACTACGATACACTTTACAATCATACACGTCTTTTAACACTTGTCAGAAATCCCCATGCCAATGGTAACACAGCCAGGTGTTAATGGGGTGGTAGGCATTGCTGACGGCCAAGCCCAGGCCCCAATGCAAAGCTTTAGTAGTCCACATGTGCCATTTCCCTTCAATTCGTTTTCTTTGATGATGGTATTTTAAAAAGAAACATATTCATAAAAATATGCATAGCGGCATTTGGGGCACCTGTATATTTTTGTAAGGAAAACATTGAAGAAGTTAAATGCACCACAGCATAGACACATGAATTAAACATTTCTTAAGTACTCATGGACACATGAATTTTAAAAAGCTAATTTTTCATTAAAGAAGTCTTGGAATTTGCTGAACAGGAACTATTTGTAAAGTAATTAATTATTAGGCAACAAGGGCCATGCTCGTTTGGATTATAAAACACACTAATGAATTAACAGTGGACAAATTTCATCCCAAAACTTAGTCCCAGTGGGCATTTTGTATGTGAGATGCAACCACTGATGATCTGTGGACAGATTCTCTGGCCACTCCTCAGAACAGCCAATGGCATTGTTGGGCAACAATACTGACTGTAACCTGCACTGAGCAGAGGCAGCTAACAGTTCCTGTAGTTTTCCAGTCCTCTTAAGAAGCTGTGCGCTTTCACACTGGGGACTTTAGAGCAAGTGAAGCAACACACAGTTTTGGCTGTTCTGGGATAGAGTCACCAAACATGAAGCCAGACATAAAATGCTTTTATGGAGAGTATTACATTTGATGTTATGTAGGATTAAATCTTATAAAACATTGATTTTTAAGTTTTTATTGTCACTGCGAAATACATAAAATAAGATTTATCATGTGACATTGGAACAAAGCCAAGAACTAGACCCTATGATTTCTGTCTCTGTGCCTTTGTATGAGTTACTCAGACATCATGAGCCTGAACTGGTTTACTTCCAATGAGCTTAATACTCCATGTGGAGCATGGGTTTGCCATAGAGAAGACCCAAGGCCTGTGGCTAATATAGAGCCAGGACATACAGAGAGCTCAGCTAACTGTTATTCATCTCTTTCCTATTTACATATTTAAATTTAATAAAGTATTTATACAGATAATTAATACTTATCTATTAATTATTTATTACCAAAATCGTATCGATGATGGAATTGAATAAATGATCAGAATGTAATATTTTGAACATAAAAATTATCTTAATTCTATGAAATTATTGCAATATATTTCTAATTAGAACAGTTTTTAGATTGTCCCTTGGATCGAGTTCTATTTTTTAGCTCTGTCAGTGAAAATGGGTAAGTACTCCCTATCACAAGTTTATAATGCTTTCAAATAGTATTATTATTATTGTTATGAATTTTTCTGTGTCCTTCACATTGTATTTCGGTTTAGATAATGTTCTATGTTACATATATACTACTTGTCACACATACCTCAATTTGAATAAGCCTTGAGTCTTTACGGTGCAAGGTAAAATCTACACCCACATACACACAAAAATGCAACCTCATTTCCTTCTAGCTAGAGTCTTCTTTGATACACTCATTAAATAGGTGGTGCAATGATTTACAATGTGCATTGACTGAGGTGAAGAAAATGCTCATTCTTTCAGCCAGCATTCATGTGGCTCTTACATTATTGCCATCTTTATTCTTGAGAAATAGCTAAGGAAATCTGCAGAGAATTTTTAGCGTTCAGAGGGTCTTTTTGTGTAAATTATACTGGGGTTGTCATTTACTTATTGTAATGCTCTTTTCCCATCTGAACTGCTCTGAGCCACACTGAAGTTTTGATCCAGGGTGGCTAATTTATAGTTTTTAAAAGAGAAGAAAATAAGTGAGGGAAAATGACATCTTAGCATTTTTTTTTTTATTCACTCAATTGGGAACCAATTGATTCCGATGCAATTGAACTGAATACACAAATGAACTGGCCCTAACATGGCTTATAGGAGCACATTTTAAAAAAATGTGTCTCAGTGTATTGAAAACCTTTTAGTGCAAGGTAGGGGGTTCTCAGCCTTTTTCAAACCATGACCCTATATTCAGGCACACTCAACCAGTCCTCTTCAGATGTGCCGAAGAATCCTTTGTTCTCCTTGCTCTTCGAAAGACCTGCTCACAGAATCCTACAGTGAGACACAGAAGATGTCATGGGAATTAGCACAAAGGTTACAGGGTGCTCCTGACACATGAAGAGGTCCTCGCTGCACATGACAGAACAAATCCACTTTAACAGAGAGGAGGTCAGCTCCTGGGAATGGGGTCCAGCCCCGTGACACCTTGCACCCTGGCAAGTTGCAGCCAGAGGACCCTGAGATTGAGAGTCCTCATGTCAGTGGCACCAGCTCCCTGGCTCCGGCCCTTGTGATGGTCCCACAGCATGTGTTTAATTGCTGTTCGAGCAACACTTTGCAGCTGGCAACCCAAACTGTATGGGATGACTCTCAGTTCTTCCATTTTAGCTCTCTTGATATTTTGAAGAGACGTCATCCCGGCTCTCTTGTAAAGCCTCTACATCTAATTTGCATCAGGTAAAGGCAGCCCAGGCATGTGTTTTGACTTCCTGCCTTTTTTCGTTTCTTTATTTCTTTATTTATTCATTTTCTTGTCTAAATAACACTTCTCCTGAGAATTAAGTCTAGCACCTGCAGCGTCCCAGGATTTTAACACTATGCTTAGGAATGACCAGAGCTTGGGCAGTGGGAGTATGAGGTCAGCTCAGAATGCTTTTCCTGGAGATTGACTGTATATAAGATCACCCCAGGTTGCATCTCCACAGCTCTTACCTCTAATCCATTTTCCTTCCTTGATATTAGCAGTATTTATAGAGGTGTTAAAAGCATGTCTTCATGTAAACCAGAGCTGGTAAAGCAGAAATCAGGCTTAGATTTATTCGGCTTATTTTCAAGGCAAATCATTATTTGGTTGTTAAACTAATTTCATTCCCCACATAATTTATACATTTACTTTAAAAAATAGTAGAATATCTGTTACACCCTCTAGAATTGAGGCTAACATTTCCCTATTCTCTTCAGTTGAGATGTGTCTGGAAGTAATTTTTTTAAGCCTAAAAATTATGCCTTAGGATTATTACATCATAAAGGACTCTAAGGATGGAGGCCAGTGATGCTAGAGTCATCCTCCTCTTTCAGAAGGCATGAAAATATCTCTAAAAATCCATGCCACACCCACTTATATAATACCATGACTTTTTTTTTCTTTTTGACTACTCTTAGCAAAGCTGGACTATTTGTTCTTTTCTGTATGCAAGAATCACATTTTATTATATTTGTCTAATTTTAATGGTTGATTCAAAATGCATATCCAGAATATTATTAGCAATCATATCAAGCAAGAGACTTCATCAAAACTTGTAATAAAATCATGTTTATTTATAAATTCATTAGTCCTAAAATTGATCACATGATTCACTAGTTCTTAAAGTAGTTATTCTCAATTCCAGCATATTATTTTACAGATATTTTGGTTAGTATTTAAGACTCTTCTATAAATAAAAAAGTATATTGCAAAATAAAATCCACCATAGAATTATGCTTATAAGTAATACAGAAATTCTCTTTAATGCTTGACATTATAAAATTAGCCTTATATCTCTCTGCCTTCCCAGATATCATAAAGACAATATGCATCTTGCTAAGAAGCCCCCAGGGTTTTATAATTTATACTGTTTTCTGAAGTCTTAGGAGCATATTATATTGTCCTTTCTGAAAATAAACATATTGGCAATGTAAATATTAAGTCAGTGTATGGCAATACAAGTACTATGGGCAACGTTTCTTTACTCAAAGCATGAAACTTGGGAAGAGAAGAAATTCTCAAGACTTGCTTTGTATGAAAATGTACACAGTACAGGTAAAAGTAAAATAGTAACCACTACAGTGGACAATATGGAAACTTAATAAGACAAGAAATGAACAAATAAGAATCATTGTTACTAACAATACTACTATGCAATAATATTCAGAATCTGGAAGCAAGGAGTTGCTTAGAAACACATTTTATTTTGCACTGATCATTTTTCTTTGTGTTATGATTGCATTCATATCATTACAAATAGAAAGTGATTGTCTTTTATTAAGAAATGGTAAATACTTAAAGTGAAATGTGACTTAAATTCAAAGTTACTAAGGCACTGAATTATCTAAGAAGTGGACCTATTTCATGAAAATGTTAAATGGATCATAGGAAATTATTAAAAGACACATTATGATCACCGTAATTGCTATTTATTATTTATCATTGATTATAAATCCTTTTCCTTTAATAGTATTTCCTTTGAATTTTTTACTTGATAAGGAATGGTTTTTGTTCTTGTGTTTCTGTTCAAGAGCGTGTAACTGAGATGAGATTGATCCCCATGCCATAAACAATCAAGATTAAATAAGTCCATAAAAGAAAAAGAAAGAAACACTGGTTGAATCAGTTATTTTTCAAGAAGATAAGTCCAATATTGGTCAATATTAATCATTGGAAAAATTTCTAAGCCTCAGATGTGAATTCCCTGAGGCAGAAAGAGACCGGAGAGATCAACATGGTTAGAATTTTGAGGATGCTACACTAGGAAGGTGTCCTTGTGAGTATTCAGCAGAATTCTGTAATTCTTTTTCTTTTTTTGGTACTGGGGGTTGAATTTGTGTCCTTGAGTTTATGAGGCAGGCGCAGGAACCACTGAGCTAAATCTCCAACCCTGTATTCATCAGAATTTTAATCTGCACAGTAAACAATGAAACATATCACTCACAGAGATTAGAAAGGGCAGTGCATAGTATCCAGACAAGGTTGGGACCACCTATTTTCATTAGCTAAGTGGGGCATCATGTAGAATCAGGTGCACAGGCCCCAGCCAGAGGCAAGAAAAGATACTACCATTAAGTGTGTGCAGAGCCCAGCCAGAAGCTCACACAATAGCAGTGGGGGTGCACAGACCCCAGCCAGGGACCTGCCCAGATACCAGCTGATTTGGCATCCAGGCCCCAGCCAAAGACACCATCTGTACCTGCAAGCCCCAGCCAGAAGTCTGCCTGGTCACAAGCTGCATGGCCTCAGCTGCACAGGCCACAGCCAGAACCCACCAAGACAACAGCTGTGCAGGCCCACAGGCCCCAGCCAGAATCCCACATGGACAAAAGCCCAAAGTGGGGATTCAGGATTCCCTTATTCTGAACCCAGGAATTGGTGCAGTGATGAGCAATAGAGAGAAGTCCTCTCTGGTGCTTGTTGAGAATTAAAGCCCACAGGGAGAGCAAAGAGGCATTGCAATAAAGGTTCAGGAGACTGCATTGGTTGAAATGAAAAGACACCTAAACAAGACTCAAAACCAGACTTTCAGATCATGAAAAGCAACCCCAAAGGACAAGATGGAACAATCTGAGACTTAACCACCTGGACTCCCTGACAACCAAGAAGCCTAGCAGAATGAATCCATTGGGCAAGAGAAAAAATTAAATGCAAATGAGGAGAACTCAACAACAGGAAAAGGACATGAGAAAGATAAGTCAATACATATCACTTTTAACCCTCCTTGTTAATGGGCTCAGCTCACAAATAAAAAGAAATAGGCTGGGCCAGGGATTTACCTTAGTGGTGCCACTGCCTGCCTCGCAAGCACAAGGTCCCAAGTTTGATCCCTGGTACAAAAAAAAAAAAAGTAAGCAATAGACTGGCAGAATGATTCAAGAAGCAAGATCCAACAATATGCTGTATACAAGAAACACACTTAATTCTAAAAGAAACTCATAGACTGAAAGCTAAAGGGTGGAAAATATTAATCCTCACTACAGGAACACCCCCCAAAGCAGGAGTAGCTATCCTAATTTCAAATAAAGTGGATTTCAAACCAACACTGAGGATGAGTGGAATAGATTAGAAGATGCAGAAACAACTCCAGACATTCTCAGCTACCTCATCTTTGACAAAGGTCCCAACCATCCTCACTGGAGGAAAGGTAAGTTCTTTCATAAATGCTGTTGGAAAAACTGGATTTCAACTTACCAATTACTAAAACTAGACCCATTTCTTTCACCATGTACTAAACTAAAATCCAAGTGGATTAAAGGTCTAAATATTAAAACAGAAACACTAAACTTGCTGGAAGATAAATTAGGCAGAACTCTTGAAGACATTGGCATAGGGGAAGACTTTATGAACAAATCCTCCGTAGCACAGGAACTAGCACAAAGAATCGACAAGTGGAATCTCATCTTTTTAAAAAAGCTTCTGCACTGCAAGAGAAAACACCAACAGAGTTAAGAGATAACCTACAATGTGGGAAAATTTTTTTACCAGCTGTTCCTCAGACAAAGGTCTACTATCTAAAATAAATTTAAAAACTTAAAAATATCAGACCCCCTAAATATAAAGACCCAATTCAAAAATCGGCATCTGAAATGAACAGACATTTCTTAGAGAAAGAAGTAAAAGCAGCAAACAAACATACAAAAAATGTTCACCTTCCCTGGTCATTGGTGTGATGCAGATGAATACAACACTGAGATTCTACCTCACCCCAGAAAGAATGGCTGCTATCCAGAAATCAACCATAACAAATACTGGTGGGGTTGTGGGAAGAAAGGAATCCTATTCTTTATTGGTGGGTGTGCAGACTGGTGCAACCACTGTGGAAATCAGCATGGAGATACCTTAAACTAGGATTAGAAGTCCCATTTGACCCAGCTATTCCTCTGCTGGATATCTTCCCAAAAGAATTAAAAGAATCATACCACAGTGATATGCATACACCCATGTTTATAGCAGCACAGTTTGCAATAGCTAAAACTTGGAAACAGCCCAATTGCCCATCAACTGGAGACTGGATAAAAAAGGTGTGTGTGGTTTTTAAAAAATATAAAATGGAGTACTACTCAGCCATAATAAATGGGAAACTAGAGACATTTATAGCTAAGTGGATGAACATTGAGGCTGTACTTTTTTTTTTTTTTTTTTTTTTTTTTTTTTTTTTTTTTTTTTTGTACCAGGGATCAAACTTAGGTCCTTGTGCTTACAAGGCAGGCAGCCAAACCATTGAGCCAAATCCTCAGCCCCTTGAGGCCATACTCTTAAATGAAATTAATAGGGCACACATGCATAAGTACTGAATAGTTTCTCTGGTATGAAAAACTAAAAGTGTAAATAAGGATCAAAATGTATAATTGATAATATGTAACAGAAAGTAATGTTCTAAAGGAGTAGGGGAAGTGGGAGGGGTAGGGGAAAGGCAAAAAAGGAAAAGAAAAAAATATGTGATAAGGAAAAACATAGAAACAAAGTCTTTGTAAACAGGAAAGGGTGGAGTGGGTGAAGGGAGGGCTGGGGAATGGGGAAAAATAAGAACCAAGATAAGTCATGTTAAGGTACAAGATTCCAGTGATGAATGTAATTGTATTGTATACCTAACTGTACTAGCAAATTTAATAAAGATAAAACAAAAGCTTCTGCACATTAAGGTATACCACCAACAGAGAGAAGAGACAACCCACAAGATAGGAAAAAAGTTATCCTACTGCTTCTCAGACAAAGGCCTACTATCTACAATATATATAAAAAAAACTTTAAAAAATTAGACCTCCCTAATTTAAAGACCCAACCCAAAAATGGGCATCTGAAATAAACAGACATTTCTCAAAAGGAGAGATAGAAAATAAACATATGAAAAAATGTTCAACATCACTGGTCATTCAAAAGATACAAATGAAAACGACACTGCGATTCCAACTCACCCCACAAAGAATGGCTGCTATCAAGAAATCAACCAATGACAAATGCTGACAGGGTTGTGGGGAAAGAGGAACCCTGCTCCACTGTTGGTGGGAGGTTGGAGTGGTGCAAACACTGTGGAAATCAATATGGATACCTCAAAAAACTGGGATTAGAGGTTCCATTTGAACCAGGCATCCCCTGCTGGGTATCTTCCTGAAAGAATTAAAAGAATCATATCTCAGTGATATATGCCCACCCATATTCATGGCCTCACAGTTTGTAATAGCTGAGACTTGGAAACAGCCCAATTGCCCATCAACTGGA